GGGTGGCGTCCCGCGGGCGGGGTGCGGGGCCTTGCAGGGCGGCGGGGGGGGTTTTGGCACTCCGGGCGTTTGTCAAACGCACCCGACCACCCCGTAGCCCCTAGCGTGCGCGCGTGCCCCGCGGGGTCGCGTTCAATTTTTTTTTGCGCGCGCGAGCGCAGCGCGTTTGAACACGATTGAACGCGGTCCCGGGGGGATTAAACGCGCGCATTTAAACGTGAACGCGCGTTCATGGCGTTCAACCGGTTACTCAGCTACTAGGTCCGTCGTTGTCCGTTGGAAAGAGCATGTTACCTCCTCACTTTCTGCCGAACTTCCTTGTCGTAATAGGAAACTCGATACTCAGCTACTCGGCCTCTGATTCCGATCTTCTTTCCGCTGAGCAATTTTTCATCCGCTCTTGTTCCCCTTCCCTCAACTCCATCAAACCCCGGTAGCGATTGCGAAAGGTATCTCGACAAGGTAAAAAGGAACGGATTCGCACGCGGAATCGCGCCCTCCATCTTGTACCATCCTCTACTTCACCTAACCCTTCCTATGCTTCTCGCACTCCTTTCCTTTTCTCTTCATCCCTCGGCCATTCTTCTACTAATCTCACAATTTTCTTACGTAGTATACTCCAATCTAAACCTGCTTACCCCTTTTTTTATTGCTATTCTATCCGGCAATTGCTTCTTTGAGAAATGGAAACTTGTTTGACGCGAAATTGACGGCTCCTTGGCTCTTTTTCTATTTCTACTGCCAACCTTACCATCTCCCTTCTCAAAGACTGCCGATCATGGTTTGTATATGGTTCAACAATCGTCTTCCATACGCTCTTCTTGTTCTGCTCTCGGTCCATACCTCTTTAAGGTGATCTCATTACTCTCCTTAGTAAACCCTCTACCCGTCGTAATCTGATTCAATGGGATCTCGACAAACTTGTATCTTCTTACGACGCTATTCATGCTATCTCCACCAACGGACACCAAGCGATCTCGTACTACCCTACGTCTTAATTCAAGTTCGTAGGTTGTGTATACCGCCGTATACATACGGCCCGTCCGTACGTTCGTACGTACGGGCCCCCCGGCATCCGTACGGTCCGTACGTACGGACTTCGGGTCGTGCATGCACGGCCTTCCAAAGGGGTGCTGGGGAGGTTGATGGGCTA